CTTCTTTATTATGATAAAGATAGAGATTGTATACTAGCTTCTTTATTATGATAAAGCTAGAGATTGTATACTAGCTTCTTTATTATGATAAAGCTAGAGATTTTAGACAAGCTTCTACTTCTGAGGAGCTCCTTCAGTGGAAGAAGGAGCGCTACAGCAGGGCCTTTATCCTCACCACTGTCAGACTGTACAACACCAAACTGGTGTAACGATGTGACAGTGATCTCCAAGCACTGCTCTCCTGCTCTGGAATATCTTTTCATTCATTGTAAACCATATTACTCCCCTCGTGAATTTGTTTCATTCATTTTTGCCTCTGTTTACATACCGCCATGCGCGGACGCAGAGCAAGTACTGTGTATGGAACGTTTATACCCGGACTCTCTGATTATTATCCTGGGGGATTTTAATAAGGGAAACTTGAGCCAGGAATTACCCAAATACAGACAGTTTATCAAATGCCCGACCAGAGAGGAGAACACTCTGGATCACTGTTACACCACCGTGCGCGGAGCTTTTCGCGCTGTTCCCAAGCCAGCCCTCGGCTTCTCAGATCACTCCATGATACATCTGGTTCCTGCTTACAGACAGAGACTAAAGCTCTCGAAACCTGTAGTGAGGAGCTCCAAAGTGTGGTCTGATGAAGCTGTGGAAGAGCTGCGCGCATGGAATCTACTGACTGGGACCTTTTCAGAGCTGCCACAGATAGTTTGGATGAATATACGGACACTGTGACGTCATACATTCACTTCTGTGAGGATAGCATCATTCCAACAAGGACCAGGGTCATCTATAACAACGACAAACCCTGGTTCACTGCTAAACTCCGGCAGCTCAGGAAAGCAAAGGAGTCTGCTTTCAGGGAGGGGGACCGCAGCGGCTACAAAGCAGCTAAATATCAGTTCAGGAGAGAACTGAAAGCAGCCAAGTCCCGGCACAGAGAACGACTACAGGAGCAGTTTGGTAACAACGATACTGCTTCTGTCTGGAGGGGCCTACGGGAGATCACCAACTACAAACCCAAAGCCCCCCCCTGTGCTGACGACCACAAGCTAGCTGACGATCTGAACTTATTTTTCAGTCGCTTTGATGCTGCCCCTGACACCTCTCCCTCCCCCCCCCCCCACTACTCTAACGACCCACCCATCAGCCCTGCCCCCAGCCTAACAATAGCCTCTAAAGAGACTAAACAACTCTTCTTGAGGCTGCACCCCCGCAAAGCTCCTGGCCCGGACCACGTGTCTCCGGCCACTCTGAGACACTGCGCCAGTGAGCTTACTCCTGTGTTCACGGACATTTTCAACACCTCTCTGCAGTCCTGCCATGTCCCGGTCTGCTTCAAATCCTCCATCATTGTCCCCGTCCCGAAGAAGCCCAGGATCACAGGACTCAACGACTACAGACCTGTAGCACTTACGTCTGTCGTCATGAAGTCATTTGAACGCCTGGTTCTCTCCCATCTCAAGTCCCTCACCTCCCCCCTCCTGGACCCCCTGCAGTTCGCCTACAGAGCAAACAGATCTGTAGACGACGCCATTAACCTGGCCCTCCACCACATCCTACAGCACCTGGACTCCCCGGGGACCTACGCCAGGGTCCTGTTCGTGGACTTCAGCTCTGCCTTCAACACAATCCTGCCATCCCTGCTCCAGGACAAGCTCAGCTCACCTGCAGGTGGATCACTGACTTCCTGACGGACAGGAAGCAGCGAGTGCGTCTGGGGTGAAGTGGGCGGGGCTTTCAGGTTCTGAAATTAAATTCCAGAACTCTTTGGTGTGTTTTGGTGGTTGCCGTGACAACACATCTACAACACAACAATCAAACACACAAAGCTGTAACTGCAGCTGTTTATTCTGCATTGATACAAGTTCATGATTATTATAGGACGAGTTTGGAAACACAGAGTTTATATAATATATAATTTCATATATATTTGGTTAAAGAATGTTGTTTCAGACGATACGACACAAACACAAGTGACAGTTGGGACATAAAAAGCTGCTCAGTGATGGAGGCAGAGGGAGCATGTGTCAGTCTGCCCCAGGGCAGCTGTGGCTACAGTAGTAGTTTATCCCACTGTGTATGGAGTGAAAGAATAATGCCATGTGAGGCGTCTTTGAGTGTCCATAATTCTGTTTTCTCTTCAAACCGCTGCATTATCACAGGCCCTAACCAGGCCCTGCCCTGCTTAGCCTCAGAGGTCTGACAGGATCTGGCTCCCACCTGCAGGTGGCGCTGTCTCTGTGAATGGTTTCTGAAATCATCTCTAACAACTCATGGCTCAAGCAACAATTAACTCCATGTGATGTCATTATGAAGTTGGAGATTAAATACTTTCATCTTCATTATGCTAAAGTTAGATGTTAATGTACTTTAGTAAAGAGTTATTGTTCATTCTTGGTTTTGGAGACGGCTATTGTTATTTGTTGGTTTCATATTATTTATTTTTTTGCTAAAAGGATTTGATTTCTCACCCTGAAAACATGTACAAATGTTGGCACTTGGGGGTCTAGTGCGACTGGTTCAGCAATTTTCTTTATTTTAAACAAAAGATGAACCTTTTGAGATTGTCGGACGAACGCCGACAATCCCCCTTGTCCCCCTGGACATTTCACCAGAGGCCTCTAGCAATCCATGTTTGTTTAGTAGCAAGCATAAAACTATAATTAAATCAAGAATTAAATAAAAGGTTAATACAATACTTTCATGTTTCTTTACTTGAAACTGAATCACTTTGAGTTGCCTTGAACTGCGCTAAACAAATAACTTGCCTTCAATTGTTCCACTTTAACCCTAACAGTGATTTTTCTGCTGGGCCTTTGGTTCATAAGGACAGACATACTTTGTTTTGAGAGTCCATTGGAGGTTATTTCACTTATTGTAATGAATATAAAGCTCAGCCCCAACTGCAGACTGGAATGAGTCCATCTCCTGCAGTCATTTAGCCTTCTGTATTTTCATTCATTCATTTGTCCCGCGCCCCCCACTTTGGGAACCACTGCTGTAACTGCTGATGTCTGTGGGACCAAGGAAAGGTCTCTTCATCTTAATCGACAGAATGTACAGAATATTATGTAAATATCATGAGGAAAAAGCCTCACGAACACAACTGTCGTATTATCGTCAAACAGGTTTTTATTCTAACTTTATCAGTAAGTAAGTAATGTTTATTTATATAGCACATGTTACAGAACAAGGTACAGACCCAAAGCACTTTACAATGTTCAGAGTCAGATATTGTTCTAATCCTTCCACACACGGTGATGACAGAAGCGAGTCCAGAACACACTGGACCATCAAAGCCTCTGACCCAACACCATCCATTCACTCTCTCATTTACATTCAGACCTATTGCGCATGTTTTTAGTGGTAGGAGAAACCGGAGTACCTGGAGGAAACCTACGCAGACACGGGGAGAACATGCAAACTCCACTCAGAAAGGCCCTGTTCCGACCAGGATTCGAACCCAGGACCTTCTTGCTGAGAAGTGAGAGGGCATTCCACTCAGCCACCGTGCCGCCCGCTGAATGATTTATTTTTTTATATATATATTTAAAAAGTTAGAAAAAGTGATAAATAAAAAAACTAACTTTATTTTGGGGCTGGTGCTCTGTGTACTGGGTGATGCTCTGACTGCCACCCCCCGGACCCAGAAATGGATTAAGGGGAAGAAAATGGATGGATGTTATAATGTTTGAATTATCCTTAGAACTCAGTCGGAAAGATTTTTATGGAAAACAATGATCTCTGCCATTTTGTGTCAATGCTGAAGGGTTTCAATAACCAAACTAGCATGTAGCATTTTAGCTTCTTTGGGTTCTTTTACAGACGGTAATTAATTCATCCAAAAAGTCAAACATTTTATTCTTTTTTTATTTATTTTGTTTCAGACACTCAGTCACTAGACATCACACACAACATATACACACAAAACACACAACACAACGTAACACAATGACAAAAACCCACTTACAAGACAAAAGACAACAACAAAAAATAACACAAAACAAAAATAAAAATAAAATAAATTACATAGAGAACAAACACATACAAGTCCCTGAGGTTTTTTTTATTTATGTATTCATTTTTCTTTCGTCATTTAATTTTTTATTCATTTATTTATTTTATTTATTGATCCACTTTTCGGTTTACACTTGTATATAAATATGCCATAACATTTGAACTTTATGTTGCACGTTTGTAACCGAGGCGACGGGTTTAAAGTGACCTTCTCTTTTCTTACAGGAGAAAATAATCCTTCTACAAACAACAAGACAAGTTCAAAGGATCAATGTTCCCGAGTTTATTTGTAGAAACTTAGATATTTGCAGTGATTGTGACATAAAAACTGTGATCCTATTTAGACTTTAACTTACTGATCCACAAATGACAAAAAGTGCAAAGTGTGAAAGGTGAAAGAGATCGAATGAAGTGTGTAACAGTCAGAATAAAACAGACAGAAGGTCATGCTCCCAGACTACCTGCAGATGGCGCTCTCACACTGAATCCATGCAGCTTAAAAAATCCTCTGCTTTGTGTTTGAAATACATACATGAAAAGAAAAAACACTGCAATATGTACTTAGAGATGTGTGTGTGTGTGTGTGTGTGTGTGTGTGTGTGTGTGTGTGTGTGTATTTACTTTGTATGGTTAAATCTACAATTATTCTTTTTCAAGAATAATTTGTATCATTTTTTATTCTTTCTCTCCTAACACAGTGGTGAGAAACTACTACTGTAGCCACAGCTGCCCTGGGACACACTGGCAGAAGCGAGCCAACCAGTCTGTGCCATCAGCCCCTCCCACCACCACCAACCTTTCACACACACACCAGACTCATTCTAATGTGGGTGAAGTGTCTTGCCTAAGGACACAGCCGCAGCCGCCCCACTGTGCACTGTGTCTCCTGCCGTTCCCAGAGGTCTCCCATCACAGTACTAACCAGGCCCTGTCATGCTTAACTTCAGAGGTCTGACGGGATCGAGCTTTCACCTGCAGGTATGACCACCAACATGTGCTCTATCCCCACAGAGCGCCCCCTGGAGGCCGCAGCAGAACTCTCTCTCTTCCGTCAGGGCGAGTCATGGACGCCGTGTCATGTGACTTTTAAAGCTCCTCCCATTGGCCCGCGCCGTCAGCAGGACCCGCGCAGACACATAAAACGCCAGATTCGCTCGGCCTGCTCCCAAAACACAGGCACGCCCCCCCCCCCCTCCCCACTCGCCCCGGCCTCGTATAAGCGCGTTGCCGTGGCGACCGGGGGCCCCAGGTTGTCGTAAAGTTTTACAGCTGGGTGCCTGTGTGCGCGCTGTCAGCACACACTTCAGAGGCGCGTCCCCATAAAGCGTCCTGAGGGGAAACCGCGCCGCTCCGACCAAAGGCCCGCGTCAGCGCATTAGAGGATTAAAACATGTTTATGGAGCCGCATTTGCATCTGAGGGACGCGGCGCACGCAGAGACGACCTTCTGAAGGGCAGAGGACGGCGAGCTCTCGGGGGGCGTGGCCTTTGTTAAAAGCAAAGACAGTCGAACTGTTCCTCATGGAGTCCAAATAAATAATCCACAACTCTTCTGGTCCCTGGAAAAAAGCCCTGTTCCAGCTTCTTCCCTCTGGCAGAAGATATTGTTGGCTGAGATGCAGGACATGCTAATATGCTAACATGCTAGCACCGTTATTCACTCCTGTCTCCAGTTTATATTCAACTTTGTATGCCTATTTTCAATTAAAATAAATAAATAAACAATTTGCTAGCAGCTTCTTTCAGTTGTTTTCAGTCTGAACAAAGACCATTTGTAAAGGTTAATGTTTTATTATTAATAGAAAATGTTTTATTTTGACACTTCCTGTCTCAACCGGATCAGACGGAGAAACGTTACAAAGTGTATGGACGTTTCACACAGCGGGTCTAGACAAACGGTCACAGGAAACTGCACTAATATGGTATAAAAGACAAAGTTTAGCTACAGTTGAGAGGGAACAAGCTATGGATTGATTTTATTTGTGTAACAATTGTAAAGTTTCTTTAAATGTGTAAAATTTAGGGCTGTCAAACGATAAAACATTTTTAGTTGATTAATCGCACAGAAATGGTGAGTTAACTCACGATTAATCGCATTTTTAACATTCTATTTCAAATCCACTCCAATTGAAGTTAAATGAGATTATCAAATATAATGACACATTGTCATTCATACCAAATGTACTTAAATCTGTTTGCTTTTGGGCAAAACCAACATGAGCTGTTAATGAAAGGGGGAAATTTACATACCCCAGCTTTAATTCAGCGTTTCAGTTTAGTTTAGTTTCAGGAGGAGACAGGGAAACTCCTGCGCTGTATTTGCGCGCACAGGTTACGCACAGGTTGCAAAGACACGAACACAACATGCAGACAATAATTCTGTGGCGTGTTTGGTCTTATGACCATGTTACCGCGGCGCCACTCGCTCACAGCCGTGTTGTTATTAGCGGCTCACAGTCAGAGCGGTCACGGAGGAGGCGGACTTCAGTTCACAGCAAACAACAGCCCCGCGGTGACGCGTGTATTCTTTTAAAACATGAATCCCCAGAGGGCCTACCTGCTCTGATCCATCTCACACGCAGCATTCTGAGTGATAATGGATAAATGGGCGGGTCATTCGGACGTGCGTTAATGCGTTAATTTTTTTTTTACGCGTTAATGAAAAATGTAATTAACGTGAGTTAACGCGATAATTTTGACAGCCCTAGTAAAATTAAATAGCAAAAGTAATGTAACGATTAACAATGTATTTGATGCTAGATAGTATTTGGACATGATTGTAAGGTGTTTACGTTGGTTATGTAAGGGATAATGTATAGCCTACAGGTCATTATCGGAAAATAAGTACCGACAGGGCGAAGCGGACCCCGACGCGATCAGATCACTTTTATGAATGCCAAAAGTTTATTTAATGACAACAAATAAAGTAGTCCCAAAAAGTTTTCCCGTTGCTCGGCAACCGCGGGCAACAGTTAGGCTGGCAACTTCCAAACTAGAACTCTCTGGAACTGCATGAAAACTGAACAAAGAATTCTGAACATCAGCGGTGAGTGACCCAAACATAAACTTAACCTAATTCCATAATTCGATCCTCTGCAAATGTGTCCGAAAATGTGCCGGTATCTTAAAATGTGCCGGTATCTACTTCCGGGTTTTTCGGGATCGCCTTTTCTCGCATTACATCAGTGTTTTTGTCATGAAAACGTAAACGGAAAATTCTGAAAACTTCCGTGCACTTGTATTAAGACTGGATATGTATAAATTACTCTCCGATTAACATTTCATTGCGTTGATTGATTGGCATTTGCGTTTATTGAGCGGCCAGAACTACTTCCGGGTTTTTCACGATCGCTTTTTGACGCAGAGAAATAGTATTTTTGTCATGAAGACAAGACCAGAAAATTCTGAAAATGTCCGTGCACGTGTGTGAAGAATGTATATGTATAAGTATTCTCCGATTAACATTTAAGTGTGTTGATTGAGCGTGGCTAGCTCCGGAGTGGCCGGAACTACTTGCGGAGTTATCCACGCATTTGAAAGACAAGCAGAGAGTGCGTTGCCAAAGGGCAGCGGTCATTATTGTTTTGAGAGGTCCGTTATAGAAAATAATGACCGGTAGAACGTTTTGAAATTACATTCAAATCAATGGAGCTTCTCCTGCTGCTGTGAGGAGCCGTATAATAAATGAATATATGGAAGGATAAAATTAGCTTCATTTTAACCATCAGTTCTGGTTCAACTGGACGCTACGCCTTTAATGATCTTTCTCTTGGATTTAAACTGTTTTTGTTGATTTCAATACAAGTGAAAGATCATTCATCAATCACTCGATTGTTTCTTATATAAACTGAGACTGAGTAGTTTTTGAGGAACCCCCAGAGCTGTTAGTTTTGGAAGCGTAAAGTGAAAGATGTTCAATGAGACCTGCTGAACCTGAACATCTGTAAATAATACATTTCAGAATGTCCACTGTCACTTTATCGACTTAATCCTGCCATAATTTACACTACATATTTATTATTATTATTTTCTCTTTTCTTCATCAGTGTGAGAATTGTTCACCTTTAACTCCCAGAGCAGTAAGTAAGTAAGTAATCTTTATTTATATACCGCCTTTTCACTGCAGATCTGAGTCTCAAAGCGGTTTACAATTGTTATTTTTGGGCATTTGTCTCTCACTCCACACAGAGATGGGAGCAGGGTCACCAGTACAGGAGGCACATGCCAGAACTATTGGACATATTTTTAGTGGTAGGGGAAACCGGAGTACCCAGAGGAAACCTACGCAGACACAGGGAGAACATGCAAACTCCACTCAGAAAGGCCCTGGGATTCGAACCCTAACCCTAACCCTAACCCTTGCTGAGAGGCGAGAGTGCTAACCACTCAGCCACCGTGCCGCCCAGTCATTTTGACAGCTCCATTCAGATGATGGTACATTTAAAAATGTCTAACCAGTATTCCATAGCAGGTCCTGGTGCTGGTGCTGGTCCTGGTCCTGGACTGGGTCAGAGCAGAGCCAGTGCTGGTTACCATAGGAACACACAAAACCTCCGGCTGATAACATTTAAGCTAGCATTTCACTAAACTGTTTTTGTACTTCAGTTAAATTCACCAGTTTCAGTCCTGGTCAAAGTGAGTGAAGGCAAAACATGGATCTACTAAATCTACTAAACTACTCAGTTAAAAACATGGATCTACTAAATCTACTAAACTACTCAGTTAAAAACATGGATCTACTAAATCTACTAAACTACTCAGTTAAAAACATGGATCTACTAAATCTACTAAACTACTCAGTTAAAAACATGGATCTACTAAATCTACTAAACTACTCAGTTAAAAACATGGATCTACTAAATCTACTAAACTACTCAGTTAAAACATGGATCTACTAAATCTACTAAACTACTCAGTTAAAAACATGGATCTACTAAATCTACTAAACTACTCAGTTAAAAACATGGATCTACTAAATACTACTAAACTACTCAGTTAAAAACATGGATCTACTAAATCTACTAAACTACTCAGTTAAAAACATGGATCTACTAAATCTACTAAACTACTCAGTTAAAAACATGGATCTACTAAATCTACTAAACTACTCAGTTAAAAACATGGATCTACTAAATCTACTAAACTACTCAGTTAAAAACATGGATCTACTAAATCTACTAAACTACTCAGTTAAAAACATGGATCTACTAAATCTACTAAACTACTCAGTTAAAAACATGGATCTACTAAATCTACTAAACTACTCAGTTAAAAACATGGATCTACTAAATCTACTAAACTACTCAGTTAAAAACATGGATCTACTAAATCTACTAAACTACTCAGTTAAAAACATGGATCTACTAAATCTACTAAACTACTCAGTTAAAAACATGGATCTACTAAATCTACTAAACTACTCAGTTAAAAACATGGATCTACTAAATCTACTAAACTACTCAGTTAAAAACATGGATCTACTAAATCTACTAAACTACTCAGTTAAAAACATGGATCTACTAAATCTACTAAACTACTCAGTTAAAAACATGGATCTACTAAATCTACTAAACTACTCAGTTAAAAACATGGATCTACTAAATCTACTAAACTACTCAGTTAAAAACATGGATCTACTAAATCTACTAAACTACTCAGTTAAAGACAGTGAATACGACTGCTCTGGTAGTTCTCGTAGTTTAGTCCCATCTGTTTGAATGTGCTGTTTTCAAACTCGGTCTGCACTCCAATGATTCCGCTGCTCATTTTCATCTAATTTAGTGAATGTTGACAATTTTCCAATGGGAATAAAAATATACAGGAAATGTTTCTTTTAGAATGAGAAAATAAAGACACAGTTTGTGAAATAAGACTAAATTGCTTTGTCCCAAGGGTAAGAATGAGCTCAAATTAAGACAAAAAAACACACTTGATTCCAACAATTATTACCTCATATTATAAATTTGTTTCAGTGAAATAAGTGTTTATCTGCACTGTTGTCTTCTGGTACTTACACGTCCCCCTGCCCCTTCTGTCTAAAACGCTCTGTTTCAGACCGGGGTCTGCAGCCTCAGTCCTGGGTCTACAGCCTCAGTCCTGGGTCTACAGCCTCAGTCCTGGGTCTACAGTCTCAGTCCTGGGTCTACAGCCTCAGTCCTGGGTCTACAGTCTCAGTCCTGGGTCTACAGCCTCAGTCCTGGGTCTACAGCCTCAGACCTGGGTCTACAGTCTCAGTCCTGGGTCTACAGCCTCAGTCCTGGGTCTACAGCCTCAGACCTGGGTCTACAGTCTCAGTCCTGGGTCTACAGCCTCAGACCTGGGTCTACAGCCTCAGTCCTGGGTCTACAGTCTCAGTCCTGGGTCTACAGCCTCAGTCCTGGGTCTACAGCCTCAGTCCTGGGTCTACAGCCTCAGTCCTGGGTCTACAGTCTCAGATCTGGGTCTACAGCCTCAGTCTTGGGTCCACAGTCTCAGTCCTGGGTCTACAGCTTCAGTCCTGGATCTACAGCTTCAGACCTGGGTCTACAGCCTCAGTCCTGGGTCTACAGTCTCAGTCCGGGGTCTACAGCCTCAGTCCTGGGTCTACAGCCTCAGTCCTGGATCTTTTTTGTGGTCCTGGTCTTGACCCTGGTCCTGGACTGGTTCTGGTTCAGTTTGATTTTCTCCTAGAGACGAGGAAGTGTTGGTTACCATAGCAACACACTGTTTACTGTCAGCAGTTATAGCATTCGGTCTTTAGCATTAGCATTTCAAATGTTTTTGTTGTATTTCATGTTTTAGTCACTAGTTTTAGCTCTTAGTAAAAGTGAGTAAAGGTAAAACCTTTACAAGTTTTAGTAAATCTGGTGAAAAACTAAACAACTTTTTGTCAAATTTCTCAGATTTCCGTTTGAAAGAGAGAGGAACATGGGGTTTATTATATTGTTATTTTAATGTTGAAAGTTAGGTCCCCCAGCTTCTATATGCCCGCGTGCATCGGCGCCGATGCACGCGCACATGTTTTACAAATTATCAATTTACTCGCGAACGGTAAAACGTAGCAACTTACTTTTTTTTCCTCTTGATTTGTCTGTGCGATGCACGGGGGATAAACTACGCTTGTCTGAAAGTCCGTGTCCAAAGCGTGACCCGTGAGGTACAAACAGCTGTGAGATACAAACACACGGGGACTGCCAAAGATCGTCAGAGAGTAAGATGTCTCACTCCTCTGCGTTTACTTGTTCTCCCACAGTTGAAACTACAGCTACAATGGCAATAACCGGCTGAAGAGTGCGCATTATTGATAAAGACGATAATAAATACAGTAAAATGACCTTATGTGTATATGATGTATATAAATATATGTATTATATAAATAATTGATGTTTTTTTTTTTTTTGGCTCAGTTTCTTATGTTTTACGTTTTTTACAGCTGTGCTACTATAGCAACCCCGGCATTATAGACAAACTGCTTCAGGAAGGGCATCAGGAGTACAGAGTTTTTTGCTTTTATAGTGGAATTTTGTAAAAAGTATAATAGTTAGAGATTCACTTTTTTTCAAGATTTTTTTCCCCATTATCCCCAAGTCTCTAAATAACATTTCTATGCAGTGTAAAAAGTTGTTTATAGCATTTCATTGTGTTTTTTCAATACATTTTTGTTAAATTGATTTTCCGTTTGATTTTTTTCTTTGTCTTCATGATTCCATAATTTTTATATAATTCATATGACAGCTTTACAATATGAATATTCTAAAACCCCAGGTTGTACTGAAAAAAACAAAGTATACTGCTTGACTCTGCATCAAAAGATGACTGTTTTATGAACAATTATACACAAAGAAAACCAGGCGAGGAAAGTTCCCCAAAATGACCCATGTGCATAGAGGGTTAAAACACACAATCCTGAATGAACAAAATCAACACCACATGCGGCAAATCCAGACCGTTTCCCCCTCGTATTTTCCCTGCCATTTCCATCTCCACTTCTGCTTCTGGGGAGAGCAGGTGCAGTCCCCGCGGTCCCCAGCAGAGGGCAGTGTGTCTGGGCTGTCCCCGCGGTCCCCAGCAGAGGGCAGTGTGTCTGGGCTGTCCCCGCGGTCCCCAGCAGAGGGCGCTGTGGCTCCGCACTCACACTGACCTTGAGGGAGCAAAGAGGCAGTTACAGGCCGTAAGTGAGACGTGAGGATGCAGTAAGATGCTTATGAGCTCTGTTAATATTTCATCAACTTCTGTGGTGGGTTTACAGCCCGGAGCGGGACTGGGAGAGGTTTACAGCCAGTACTCACTCCAGTACTTACCATACCATCAGTACTCGGGTACTTCAATACTTGTTTTTACCTTTACTCCTCACTTTAAACTAAATACTGGATCTTTCTCCCGTTTCAATCAGACCTGAAGCTTCACTGACGAGATTTTATACTGAAATAAAACACATTCATGAATACAGTCCTGTTTCTTTAAAAGTTTAAACCAGCTTTACTCTACTTTCTCTACTTTACTCCACTCTGCTCCACTTTACTCCACTCTCTATTCTACTCTACTCTCTACTCTGCTCCACTCTACTCTACTTTCTCTACACTGCTCTATATTCAAATGTGTCTACTCTCACAATAAACCAGTACACCTGGTTAGGACATGGCATTGGTTACACAGGACCAGAGGAAACAGTAGAGTAGAGTTTAGAGTAGAGTAGAGTAGAGTAGAGTAGCGTAGAGTAGATTAGAATAGAGTTGAGTAGAGTAGATGAGAGTAGAGTAGAGTAGAGTAGGGTAGAGTAGAGTAGAGTAGATTAGATTAGAGTTGAGTAGAGTAGAGTAGAGTAGAGTAGATTGGAGTAGAGTAGAGTAGGGTAGGGTAGATTAGAATAGAGTTGAGTAGAGTAGAGTAGAGTAGAGTAGAGTAGAGTAGAGTAGGGTAGGGTAGATTAGAATAGAGTTGAGTAGAGTAGAGTAGAGTAGGGTAGAGCAGAGTAGAGTAGAGTAGAGTAGAGTAGAGTAGGGTAGAGTAGAGTAGAGTAGAGTAGAGTAGAGTAGAGTAGGGTAGGGTAGATTAGAATAGAGTTGAGTAGAGTAGATTAGAGTCGAGTAGAGTAGAGTAGGGTAGGGTAGGGTAGATTAGAATAGAGTTGAGTAGAGTAGAGTAGAGTAGGGTAGAGCAGAGTAGAGTAGAGTAGAGTAGAGTAGAGTAGGGTAGAGTAGAGTAGAGTAGAGTAGAGTAGAGTAGAGTAGGGTAGGGTAGATTAGAATAGAGTTGAGTAGAGTAGATTAGAGTCGAGTAGAGTAGAGTAGGGTAGGGTAGGGTAGATTAGAATAGAGTTGAGTAGAGTAGAGTAGTAGAAGTGTAACAGGACATATGATACATTTGATAGCAGGAGGAAACTAACAAATGCTGCTGAGATCTGGGATCGAGTCGCAGAAGAAGAAGAAGAAGAAGAAGAAGACATTTTATCGTCAGAGTTTTGCAGTTTGTGATTTTCCTCCAGAGCCCGGCCTCCTCTGAGCGTATTGGAGTCTGAGTCTGTGTTTGAAAGACTTTGGTAAACCATCCTCTCTGACGTGTTATAATAGATCCAAACATACTGCACATTCTGGTTCCACCATAGATCTCATACTTTAAGTAGCTTTATGTAAGATTTGCATGTCAAGTCATAATTAAAGGGCCCTAATCTGTCATCACTAAAGGGCCCTAATCTGTCATCATTAAAGGGCCCTAATCTGTCATCATTAAAGGGCCCTAATCTGTCATCATTAAAGGGCCCTAATCTGTCATCATTAAAGGGCCCTAATCTGTCATCAATAAAGGGCCCTAATCTGTCATCATTAAAGGGCCCTAATCTGCCATCATTAAAGGGCCCTAATCTGTCATCATTAAAGGGCCCTAATTTGTCATCATTAAAGGGCCCTAATCTGTCATTATTAAAGGGCCCTACTCTGTTTTAATTAAAGGGCCCTAATCTGTTTTAATTAAAGGGCCCTAATCTGTCTTAATTAAAGGGCCCTAATCTGTTTTAATTAAAGGGCCCTAATCTGTTTTAATTAAAAGGCCCTAATCTGTCTTAATTAAAGGGCCCTAATCTATCATCATTAAAGGGCCCTAATCTGTTGTAATAATAAACTGCTCTTTTCCAAAACTTCTTTAGCTAACTCAGGTTGCCAGATATGCAGACGAATCCAGCTGGGACCATAACAGCTGAATAGACAAGAGTTTTGTCAACAACAAATCTATAACCAACACCTTTTTCACAAAGATAGAAATCCTGGTTTTATTCCTTGTTTTGTCGTTAATGATTTGAGAATCATAACGAGACCTTTTTTAGTTCTGCGCCACATGGTACTTTACCAGTGAGATTAGCTCCACGCGGTGAGTTCTGGTGCCCGGATCACAGACTTTCTGATTGGTGAAACGGTGCAGGGCGGGACATCGAAATGAAAACAATAACAAGATTTAGAGGCTGGAAAAGTAATTTAGAAATTCAAATATCTGTTATCAGTTAAAGAAGTATTGGAAAAGAGCGGTTTATTAATATGACAGATTTGGGCCCTTTAATGATGACAGATTAGGGCCCTTTAATGATGACAGATTAGGGCCCTTTAATGACGACAGATTAGGGCCCTTTAATTATGACAGATTAGGGCCCTTTAATTATGACAGATTAAGGCCCTTTAATGATGACAGATTAGGGCCCTTTAATGACGACAGATTAGGGCCCTTTAATTATGACAGATTAGGGCCCTTTAATTATGACAGATTAAGGCCCTGTAATGATGACAGATTAGGGCCCTTTAATGACGACAGATTAGGGCCCTTTAATTATGACAGATTAGGGCCCTTTAATTATGACAGATTAAGGCCCTTTAATGATGACAGATTAAGGCCCTTTAATGATGACAGATTAGGGCCCTTTAATGATGACCAGACATGAAAATCTTACATATGGCTACTTTAATCTTAATCTTGCACGCATAGATCTGCAGAGACTGAGCCACAAACTTCAGTCCATTTGGCGCTGATTAAACCCTCCCGCCTCGGTCCCATCTCCGGCGGCGGCTCCTGGATGCGCGCTCCTTCTCGTCGCCGGTAAAGTCGGTGCCGTCGGTCTTTTACAGCGCGGACAGACCGTTAAACCGTTAAAGCGCAGAACACACGCTGCCGCCCGTCAGCAGAGCGCAGGCCGTAAAAACATTTGGAGTGTGAAAAACGAGAGGCGCCCAAAAGCTGCTGCCGAGGCTCTGGTTGAATGAGAGCCGTAAACATCAGGCAGACCCCCGTCACTCTCACCCCCTCACCCCCTCACCCCCTCCTCTCAAACTGTGTCCTTGAAATTCAGCCAAAACACGACTCAAGGGTGTTCACCTCAGAAATACTTTGGCGGCTTCTGTCTAAAATCAGCCTCACAGACACCTGGAGGTTTATTCTGTTTCCTTAAGTTTTTTTCAGACAGAATGAAAGCATATGGTTTATAAAGTCAATGTTAATTCACACATTGAACAACGTACGTGTCACATCTGGAGACATCGAAATATCATATTAGAGTAATTACACGGATACACAACCGGAGCGGACACACAATCGAGTCGTTGTGACCTACTCCAGGCCAGATCACTCTCTGTTTCTGAGGCCCTGTTTATACAGAGACAATGCAGCAGTAAAACGCTATAGTTGGATGTCGGTTGCTAACCCCCGTTCATACTGAGACTGTTCTAGATGAAAACGTAAGTGTTCAGATCCAGCCTCAGAGTGGGATAGCTCAGATACACCGCTCAACAGGGGGCGCTCTTTCACACCCGCGTGAGGGAAAAAGGTGTGAATTATTTGCCTTTTCTGACCCCACCTCCCGCTGCTCCCGCACGTACATTTGGACATGCGCAGTAGAACAAACGTAAACAATAATGGCGGCGGGTGCACTAGCTAGCTACGTGTGCTTCGAGTGCGTCCAAACTAAAGCACGCAAAGCTCTAGGTTCAGTTTCCATTTTCACAGCTGCTGGTTCTCTCACGTCTTGCAGAGGAAAGTGAGTACAGTGCAACGTCTGTGCAGCGCCTCCGTATAAACCACTTTTGGACCAAGAACCACTTTTGGACCAAGAACCACTTTTGGACCAAGAGCCACTTTTAGTCCATTCTGTAAAGAGGTTTTCTAGAGGAAAGAAGACTCCATACAAAAGCATTGGGTAATTCTCTTTCCGGGTACACCCCCACCAGCCCGTGGTTAGCGCACGTTCTCATGGACCTTTTGGAGCCGGGATCCGCCCACACTGGTTTAGACTTGCCAAACTCAGGCTCGTGGGCCAAGACCATTGTAGTGGCTCCTAAAATGAGTTTCATTTATTATGAACTTGCAGCATTGATGGTACGTAATCTGAGGGTGCCATGTGAGATCACCTCTGTTTCCTTTCTCCACATGTTTTCACAGCGGTTCCGTTGGTCGAGCTTTGGCCTTTAAGCCCGAAGATCTTCTCCATCGACTCCCACTGATGTCTGCTGTTGTCGTGTCCTTGGGCACACTTGGCCTGAAGCCCCCGCTGAAAGATCAAGGCTGAGCTGTCACTGACCCCAAAACCATCCATCCATCCATTTTCTTCCGCTTTATCCGTTGCTGGGTCGCGGGGGCAGCAGTCTAAGGAGAGACGCCCAGACTTCCCTATCCACACACACTTCCTCCAGCTCGTCCGGGGGGACCCCAAGGCGTTCCCAGGCCAGCTGAGAGACATAGTCCCTCCAGCGTGTCCTAGGTCTTCCGCGGGGCCTCCGTCCGGTGGGAGGACCCCAAAACCCCGACCCAGAAATGGACAAAGGAGAGAACAAGGACCCAGCCTGAGAGACCTGCTGTTTCTTCTTCTTACTATTATTATTACTATTGTTAGTTTTTTAGAATTATCAATTTATCTGTTTTGTTTGTTTGGATGGATGTGTTATTGCTGCTGAATTTCTCTCAGGGATCAATAAATTATAAAAAGTAACATGTAACATGGTTTCGCTGCAACAGCTGAAGGATTGTATCTCTACTCTTTACAATGTACCGCAATTATTTGTTGTTATTTATTCATTGTTTTTATCTTGTTTTGTTCCACACTTTGAGTTGCTTTTTGTGTGAACTGTGCTATACCGATAAACTTGCCTAAAACATGTTCAATAGATAAAATCCTCAAGGTCTGGTCCTGATGAGCATCAACAAATGGAGACGGGCCTCTGTTACTATGATAGATAGATAGATATTTATAGATAGATAATAATATGTAATATATATAATAACAATAAAAGAAACCAATACTTTTAATTGTACTAAGAAGACAAGATGAATCTCCCTAAACTTCCAATATTATAGATACTATGAAGTATTTGTGTGTCTGTCCAGCAGCAGAACACTCATCCAGGTCTGTTGTTACCTGTGTGACTTGAAAAAATGAAGAAAAGAATTGAATTTCAAACTTCTGTCCATGTAACCCGTTAGCATACAACAGAAACAAATATGGCTGGACGTTTTGACAGTTTGGTCAGTTCGGTATGAGATTGTGGAGGTTTGAAAGTCTTGAGCCGCTGTAGCCACATTGACCTGTCCCAGCTCCGTGTGGCCACCAGGGGGCACTGTCACATAAGCAATGGTTTGGCCCACACTGGAGCGAGCAGCAGATCCACTCTTCTTCAATATTTGCCATATTCGTTTTGAATCAGGAAAATCCATCCATCACTGCTTAAAGCTGAGGTACCGAACTTACAAACCACAAACAAAGATTATGTGATTATAATGAGTTCTTTGCTGTAAACCGCATCAAAGTTTATTTGTTAAGCACAATCCATACACGAGGGAATCCCGGTCCACAACACACAAGATTAAAAACAAAAGAGGCAGATATTCGTATGAAAAGAAGTCTCATAAAAACATCTGTGGTGAGGTCAGTTTAATGCACACAAGGAATAAATACTGTCTCTCGAGAAAATGCAGTACTCCACATCTCCTCTAGATGGAGACAGAGGACTGACCACAGCTGAGGTGGAGCAGACGGTCAATGAAACCCACGGGAAAGTGCTCATGGACAAAGCTTTGCTCCAATTCAATCTAGTTTTAGTTCCCTCAGTCCATATTATGACTGATAAGCACCAATCCCAAACAGGAAGTAAAATTATAAATCTAAAAAATATGGTCAAACTAAATTAAACTGTTTCCACCAGCCCTACTCTACTCTACTCTACTCTACTCTACTCTACTCTATTCTACTGTACTGTACTGTACTCTACTCTACTGTACTGTACTGTACTCTACTCTACTGTACTGTACTGTACTGTACTCTACTGTACTCTACTCTACTGTACTGTACTGTACTCTACTGTACTGTACTCTACTGTACTCTACTCTACTGTACTCTACTCTACTCTACTCTACTGTACTCTACTCTACTCTACTCTACTGCACTCTACTCTACTCTACTCTACCCTACCCTACTCTACTCTACCCTACCCTTCTCTACTTGACTCTACTCTATACTCTGCTCTACCCTACTGAGTGGATAGCACTCTCGCCTCTCAGCAAGAAGGTCCTGGGTTCGAATCCCGGCCGGACCAGGGCCTTTCTGAGTGGAGTTTGCATGTTCTCCCCGTGTCTGCGTAGGTTTCCTCCGGGTACTCCGGTTTCCCCTACCACTAAAAATATGTACAATAGGTCTGACATGCGCCTCCTGTACTGGCCCCGCTCCCATCTCTGTGTGGAGTGAGAGATAAATGCCCAAAAATAACAATTGTAAACCGCTTTGTGACTCTGGTCTGTGAAAGGCGGTATATAAATAAAGATTACTTACTTACGTGACTCTACTCTACTCTGATTGCATTTCCATTATGTTTAGGATCTTGTACGGTATCCTTCTTGTCCACAACAAACCAGTATCTGTGGAAATTTCTTGGTAACCATGGCTTCCAACAGCACTCTGGCCAATCACTGTGAGTTAGAACACTTTAGCACCAGCTCGGGCTGGATAGAAACAGGACCAAGAGGGACTAAAGAAGGACCTGGTACTTCAGCCTCACTGTGCGTCCTGTGGAATAATGGAGTTATACATCTTTAAAGAAAACTAGTTTAACCAAAATATTGATTTCTGCATTGAAATGGTCAGATACTAAATGTGAATGACTTAAAAAACAAATATAGTTTTCAGACGTCTCTAAAACACTGACCCTCCGTCATATACGAGGCAGGCACATAAAGCTCGGAACACCCAGGTGGACCGGCCCCTTTTTACAAGACTTCCAACATGGCGGTCGGACAGGAAGTGCCTGAGGTCAGCTGACCCACACATCTGCTTCTCATCGCCATGACAACCTGGGTCTGTGGCATGTGTGCGGCGAGGGTCTGCGATGATTCTGATGGTTCATGAGTGTGTGTGTGTGTTCCATGGAGCAGTCTTCCTGAAGCTGTAAGACAGACCTCTAACAACAAAAAAAGTACTCTGCATTTTCTTTGATACATTTTGTTTTTTGGATCCTGTATATTGGGACCGGAGACCGTACGTAAACTGTAGAAAGAGGCCGAGGACTAGTGAGTGTGAGGGTGCTTTCACACCTGTTGGTCCACTAAAGTGGTTCGCTTGGACCCTAAAGTTGTTACAATGTTGCAGTTCTCAACTAGTTCGGTTCTCATTCACACCAGTGTTTTTGCAAATGAACCAACCACTGTGGATGTCACAAATTCTGCATGTGGTGGCGCTGTTCACAAAATACTGTGTAGTGGATGATGTATGTGAAACCTCATTGGTGCAGGATGTGAAGAGTGAAAAATACCAGAAGAAAACAAACTTGTCAGATCCTTAACGATGAACTTTGCTACTCTAGTGTGTGGCTATTTTTTATCATCAATGCTTTTGCATACTGCAGTTGTTCCAGTATGTATCACGGATTCAGCACGAGAACACTCTGCGGCTGTTTTTGACTATTCTATAATATATCAAGGGCCTGAGAGCCACTGTCCAGGACCAAAGATCCAAACTCCAGAACTACATCATGGAGGAGGCCCAAACGTACTCAGTGAATGTCTCAGCCAGTGGCGAGGAGAGGAGCTGCTGGAGGAGGTGCTGGAGGTGGTGCTGGAGGAGGTGCTGGAGGTGGTGCTGGAGGTGGTGCTGGAGGTGGTGCTGGAGGAGGTGCTGGAGGTGGTGCTGGAGGTGGTGCTGGAGGAGGTGCTGGAGGAGGTGCTGGAGGTGGTGCTGGAGGTGGTGCTGGAGGTGGTGCTGGAGGTGGTGCTGGAGGAGGTGCTGGAGGTGGTGCTGGAGGTAGTGCTGGAGGTAGTGCTGGAGGAGCCAGACATGGATTAAGGGGAAGAAAATGGATGTATGGATGGGTCAACCTACAGAGTAAAAGGTTTAAATAGAATAAAGTTTTAGATCAAAACACAGCAGAGGTCACATAACAGGTTTTCACTACAAACACACGCTGTCCTCCTTCACCTGCCGTTTTAGATCCATTTTTTAAAAGATAAATTATGTATTTGCTTTCAATAAAACAATCCCTTTTTCTTCCGCTTTATCCATTGCTGGGTCTCGGGGGCAGAGACTCCCCTCTCTTCACAATCAATAAAATTAGTGCGTAACTCGCCAACATTTGTGAAAACCACAGAAATAAACAGAAACAAAATACATCTGAACAGAATAATGCAATTCAATGTATTTGAAATGAATCCAACAGTCGTGTCTGAGGACTTACCCAGGACTGAGGCTGTAGACCCAGGACTGAGGCTGTAGACCCAGGACTGAGGCTGTAGATCCAGGACTGAGGCTGTAGACCCAGGACTGAGGCTGTAGATCCAGGACTGAGGCTGTAGACCCAGGACTGAGGCTGTAGACCCAGGGCTGAGGCTGTAGACCCAGGACTGAGGCTGTAGACCCAGGACTGAGGCTGCAGACCCAGGACTGAGGCTGTAGACCCAGGACTGAGGCTGCAGACCCAGGGCTGAGGCTGTAGACCCAGGACTGAGGCTGTAGACCTAGGACTGAGGCTGTAGACCCAGGATTAAGGCTGTAGATCCAGGACTGAAACTGTAGACCCAGGACTGAGGCTGTAGACCCAGGACTGCGGTTGTAGACCCAGGACTGAAGACCAGTCCCCAGGTCCAGATGTGGAATAAAACATATTCTAACACAAAATGCTGCTGAGCAAGATCCGGGCTCTGTCTAATTCCTGGTGAAACCTCCCAAACACTATGAATTAACCAGAGTTGAAACATTGAACAAAGTCAAAACACTTAGAAAACGTTGCTGTGGATCAGATTTAAGACAAAACTGTTACATGTTTTCACCTGAGTGAGTCCTGCTGCAGAGAAACCCAAACATTCACTGACACTAGAACTCGCAGAGCAGTCAATTTGACGGGTCTCCAGATTTGAAGTGTATGTACATGTGTGGTCTTTCAATCTCTCTAACTTTTTCTGTCTCTATATGTGTGAAATAGTATGATGTATTCTCTATTATTATTGTTATTATGTCAGTACTTTTTTTTAAATTGTTTTTCTGAATTCTCTAGGTTTGAATGGGAGCCGTCAAAAGGACTGCTCTGGGAGTTCAACATGGAAGAACAAGTGGTACCGTACAGCTTCATTGGTCAAAACCACTTTCTTTACATAATAAGTTTCTATACAAGTTTCTCCCCCACCTGGTCTCCCCCCCCCCCCCCCCCCCCCCCCCCCTCCAGTCCAGACAGAGGCCAGACTTGTATAACTGTTTACGAGCTGTCTGTCTGTCTCAAGTTCAACTGCAAAGAGTCTCCCAAAGCCCAAACCTGCATGGGACCCACGGCGGGGAGGGGGAGGAGGGGGGAGGAGGGGGAGGAGGGGGGAGGAGGGGGAGGAGGGGGAGGAGGGGGGAGAGGGACTAGTTAAAAAGTATATAAAGGTGGGGAGGGGGGGGTCGGTTGGACATGAACTTGAGACGACAGCAACATTCCAGCGGAGAGAAGGATTGTCCCAGTGAGAATCCAACATTCTCCTTCTAACTCTACTCTACTCTACTCTACTCTACTCTGCCCTACTCTACTCTACTCTACTCTACTCTACTCTACTCTACTCTACTCTGCCCTACTCTACTCTACTCTACTCTACTCTACTCTACTCTACTCTACTCTACTCTGCCCTACTCTACTCTACTCTACTCTACTCTACTCTGCCCTACTCTACTCTACTCTACTCTACTCTACTCTACTCTACTCTACTCTACTCTACTCTGCCCTACTCTACTCTACTCTACTCTGCCCTACTCTGCCCTACTCTACTCTACTCTACTCTAGGTCTTCTTTTTTCTAATAATTGCTCCCTCAGTTGATTTCTTCACAGCAAGCTGCTTAACTATTGCAGAGTCAGTCTTCCCAGCCTGGTGCAGGTCTACAATGTTGTTTCTTGTGTCCTTTGACAGCTTTTTTGGTCTTGGCCAGAGTTCTGCTGGTTTATTGTGGGTAGGTAAGACACACAGATCCCCAGTCCTGGGTCTACAGCCTCAGTCCTGGGTCTAGAGCGTCAGTCCTCAGTCAAACGTTCTGTTCCACATGCGGAGGACGCCTAGGTTTCCTCCGGGTGCTCCAGTTTCCCCTACCATGTACAATAGGCATGAACGTAACGAGAGAGTGAGTGGATGTATCACTGTTTGGAGAGAATACAAAAAAATATCTGCGCTTCAAAATTAAAAGCAAAATCTGTGACCTTGGTCGGTGAAATGAGCCAATTTTGAACCAACTTGGTCACATGACACGCACCACAGCAGCAGATCCAGCAGGGGTCATCACTGCACAATTTGTACTGCTTATAGCGTGGTTCTAACTTAAGTATTCACCTTCCATGTGTAGCAAGTACAATGATATGAAATAATATAGCGAGTATCAGAAGTCTAATCAGAAGATGCAGTGTTTAAACACACAGACCAACAGGTTACATTTTAGTGGCTGATGCCTTTATTGCAAATGAGTTCTTTGTGTTTCTGCTGCCAGTTAAGCCCCGCCCACATCTGTCATGGAGAAACCATCAACGTCAATCTACTAATGATGTCATAGATTCTCATTCTGTGACAGGAGCTGCTCTCATGGACCTGATGGAGCCTGTAAAACTATGTGTGTGTGTGTGTGTGTGTGTGTGTGTGTGTGTACGTCTGAATGTGTGTGTGTATATGTGTGTGTATATACAGTATATGTACGTACATGTGTGTTTATGTGTGTATATGTGTGTGCGTGTACGTCTGTGTGTGTGTATATGTGTGAGTGTATGTGTGTACGTGCATGTATGTATGTGTGTATGTGTATATGTGTGTGTGTGTACATGTGTGTCTGTGTATATGTATGTGTGTGTGTGTATATAAGTGTGGGTGTGTGTGTGTGTACATGTGTGTCTGTGTATGTATATGTATGTGTGTGTGTGTGTATAACTGTGGGTGTGTGTGTATGTGTGTGTGCATATGTGTGGGTGTAAGTGTGTGGTGTGTCTGTGTATGTGTGTGTGTGTGTGTATAAGTGTGTGTGTCTCCGTGTGTGTGAGGGTTAAACATTAGCATTGAACTTGACAAACGGCTGCTGTGGAGACTTTACGAGGCCGTCTCTGTCCTCCTGTAAAACAACAACACAGACGGAAGCCCAGGAGCTGTAAAGACCGCTCCCCTCTGACCCGCATACCAGGCCGGGGGGGGTGAGTCCCACCCCTTCTGCATTGTCCCTGTTGGGAAATGTGTCCTCTGCATTTGACCCATCCTTCTAACAGAACAAGGGTCTGTCTCAGGAGACCAGGAAGAGAGACCAGAGAGATACCCACTCTCTGGTCTCTCTCTGGTCTCCGTCTGGTCTCTCTCTGGTCTCTGTCTGGTCTCTCTCTCTGGTCTCTCTCTCTGGTTTCTCTCTCTCTGGTCTATCTCTCTGGTCTCTCTCTCTGGTCTATCTCTCTGGTCTCTCTCTGGTTTCTCTCCCTCTGGTCTCTCTCTCTGGTCTCTCTCTGGTTTCTCTCTGATCTCTCTCTCTGGTCTCTCTCTGGTTTCTCTCTGGTCTCTCTCTGGTCTCCCTCTGGTCTTTCTCTGGTCTCTCTCTGGTCTCTCTCTGGTCTATCTCTGGTTTCTCTCTCTCTGGTCTCTCTCTGGTCTCCCTCTGGTCTTTCTCTGGTCTCTCTCTGGTCTATCTCTGGTTTCTCTCTCTCTGGTCTCTCTCTCTGGTCTCTCGCTGGTCTGATGTTTGCTGAGTCTGTTTGGTTAAAACTATTTTTTCTCTGTTATTTTTGTTTTTTTGTTTTTTTTTTGTTTGTTTTCTCTGGGGGTGACAGTAGCTCAGTTGGTAGAGCATTGGCCTTCAGGCCTGAAGGTCGTGGGTTCAATTCCCACCTCTACACCTTCTCAACCGACTCCCACTGATGACTGCTGTCGTTGTGTCCTTGGGCAAGACACTTAACCCAACTTTGCCCAAAGCCCCCACTGAAAGATCAAGGCTATGCTCACACTCAGAGAGCAGCCGTCCTCCTGTGGACTCACCACCTGCAGAGGGTCAGTGAGGGGCTGGTGCATCTCTGACTGCCACCCCCCTGACCCAGAAATGGATTAAAGGGTAGAAAATGGATGGATGGATGGATATTTTTTCTCTGCTCTGGTTCAGAGTGAACTTCTGGATTCTTTTCTAGCATTTAACTCTTGATCTGATTGATTGGGACCATCGTCTCTGCTCTGGTCTGGATCAGTGTAAACCATAAATGCTGTACTATAGTAGATGTTCTGGTTGCTGGTTTCTTACAGGTCGTTCCAGTGTAAATGTGGTTTTTCTGTTTTCTGAGGTGTTTTGTATTTGTTTTGGTTTATGAGAGTTCCTTTACTGTTTTTTGGGCGTGTATGAAAATGAGATAAATGCCGGGGTTTCTCTCGCTGTAACAGTCGTACGCTGCTGTACTTTTATGGGTTTGTCAAGTGTTACTGCCCTCCGTGAGTCAGTGTTTGAAGTGTGCCGTGTGACCGTCCTGTCGCCTGAGACCACAAAACTGTAAATTCACAGATCAGAGAAACACACACAAGAAATGCAACGATAGAAACACAAACACTGAAAAAGAACCCCTAAAAACATCATAAATTCTGCTTTTTTCTTTAATGGCAAGTTTCATTTTGTTGCTTGAATGTAGTTTGTTGTGAGTTTATTTTACTACTTCTTAGATTCTTCATCTATATTTTTTTCTTATTTTAACCACTATTTTTATAATTTTCATAAATTTCATAAATCAGTGTAGAGCCATCGGTCCATAAGGGACAGAGACCAGTGTCCAGAAAGGAGGTTAATGTTGAATGTCCAGGATCATCCCCAGTGTCTCTGTTAGACC